TTATATGGTTTTTTTTATTTATTTTTTTTTTCAATTTTAAATAATAAAATATATATGTCTATTATAATATTACCACCCCATACTCAAACTCTCTTTTAAGCTCAATTCGATTTTATCATTTTTTATAATAATACATAATATTAATAATAAACAATAATATTAATAATATTAAACCAAACAAAAATTAAATAATAAATTAAATAAATTAAATTAAATAAACAATAATAAAAAAAAAAAAAAAAAAAGAAAAAAAAAACAGAAAAAAATAAAATCATAACTATTAATATTTTTTTTACTAAAAAAGAAAATATAGAAAATAATAAAAAAAAAAATAAAAAAAAAAGATTTTCAAAAAATAAAAATAAAAAAAAAAATAATAGTACATTATAAAAATAATAAAAATAAAAATAATAATAACAATAACAATAAAATAATAATAATAAAAACAAACAATATTTGTAGAAACAAAAAATAAACTCATAGCCAAATAAAAATAATACAGTTACAACAGAATAACAATATTATAATAATATATTTCAATATTCTATCTTAATTGTTCCCCATTTCTTTTTTGTGTTATTAAAAGTTTATTTATTGTTTTATTTTTAATTAAAATTAAAATTAAAAGTTATAAGATATTTAATTTTTTTTAAATTTAAATTTTAAAACAATATTTTATTTTATTAAAAATTAAAATTGGTTCCACATTATTTATTTATTTATACCTTATTTATTTATTATTTATTTATTTATTTATTTATTTTTGTTTAATAGAGCCTCACCAAATAATAACATAGCAATAATAATAGTTAAAAAAAATCAAATTATTTATTTATTATATTTTTATTTCTTCAAAAAAAAAGGTCAACAAGAATTATAAACATTAGAAATTTGATTTTGGAAATCAAATTTTAAAACAAAAAAGTTTTACCTATTTAAAGTATTTGTAGGTGTTTAAAATAGTTTGGAAATTTTTAATAAAATTTCTAAAACTAAAAGGAAATTTATAATTGTAACATAATTATTATTTCTTTTAAAAATTCTTTGTTATTTTTTATCATAAATTATTTGTAAAAAAAATTTATTATTTGTTTAAATTTTATTTGTTTGTGTGGTTTTTTTCATTGTGTTTGTATTTTTTTTTTTGTGTGTGTGTTTTTTTTTAATTCTAAATATTTTCTTGTATATATGGTGGAAATTTCATTCAATCAAAATACAAAAAAGATTTTTATCAATATCTATTTATTTTTATTGTATTTTTTAGACATTTAGTGTTGTGTTTTAACAATAGTATTCGTAAAAGATATCATTAAAATAAACACAACCAACCACTTAAAATATAAAATATTCTTTTAAATAACCAACCACAGCCCATTCAATCCATTTACTTTTAATAAAAAAAAAAGTGGGTGGTAAAAAAATAAAAACACTTTGTTTAAAATTAATAATATTTAAAATAATAAACTGCAATTTAAATCACATACTCTCCATCTCATAAAAGAAATAACAATAAGCAAATAATTAAAATAAAAAACCCCCACCACAACAATTTTTATAATAACACAATAAAACAATATTCGTTTTAAAAAAATCAAAAAATCACACACAACTAAATGCAATAGGAGTTAAAGATAATAATTAATTATTACCCATAATTTTTTTTTTAAAAAAAAAAACAATCAATTGTGATATTTTTATTTTTTAAATTTCATATTTAAATTTTAATTTAATAGTCATATTCTCTCACCAACAAAACACCAACAACGATAGATACCACAATAAATGAAATAACACCATAATAGAGTTTATTTAGATAGAATTAAATAGTAATAAATGTTTATCGTTTTTTAATTTTTTTTTTTATTATTTTTTATTTTTATTTTTATTTTTAATAATTATATTTATAATTTTTTTTTTTTTTTTTTAATGTTGTATTAAAATATATTTTGTATTAATTAATAGTAGTAATAATAAATTTTTTAGATTGGTTTTTATTTTTTATTTTTTTCAAAAAAATTTTTATTTATTTTTTTCATTAATATTGTTTTTTTTTTTTTTTTTTTCTTTATCCATTGTATTTCTATTGTATAACATTTATTATTTATTATATTTAATTGGCTTTAAATTATTTTTTAAAAAAATTTTAAAAGCCTTTTATTTTGTGGTTTCAAAATATTTACAAAATTTTTTTTCAATAGGTTTAACATTATGTTTCAATTTCAAGAGTTATAAAAATTCAATATTTATATTAAATATAAAAAATGGATAATAATAACAACAGTAATAATCAAGGGAATGAGTTTTCTCAGTTTAACAATAATAGGAGTGGTTTATTAAATATGGATCAAAAATCTCAAGAGTTTCCTCCAAATAACAGTATTCAACAAAATCAATTTAAAGACTATAATGATTTAAAGAAAAATATATATAATGGTTCAACATCAATATCATCAACATCCTCCTCGACAGCATCATCATCATCATCATCAAGTATGTCAATAAATAACGAAAAAAATCTTAATACATTTTATAATACCTTAAATCAACAACAATTACAACAAAAACAATATCAAGATGCAATTACGAATAGAAAAGCCCAAATGTTTAGAAGTAAAAGTTCACCACATGTACATTCACCAATGTTTTCACCAATGGAAATTTCAGATAATTACCATACAACAACAACTACAACAACCACCTCTTCAAATCATAATAATAAATGCAACAGTAATGATAATTTATCACCAATGTTAATGTCACCAGTGTTTAATAGATTATATTCTAGTCATTCAAAGAGTACATTGGCATTGGATGGAAATGGTTTGGTTAATGGTTTGCCTGAAGAAGTTTTAGTAAGAATATTTAAACTTTTGAATGTTGAAGATTTATATAGATGTTATAGTGTATGTACATTATGGAAAAGATTATGTGAAGATGAAGCAATTTTCAGAAAAGTTTGTTTTAGGAACTATCCAATATTAAAGAGGTATTTAAGACCGCCATTTGAAAATTCTTGGAGAAAATACTATAATTTAAGAAAGGTAATTATATAAAACTAAAAAAAAAAATAATTAAACTAAAATTAATATTAATATTATTTTTTATTATAATAAAGTCATCATTTTTGGTTTTAGGTGGTCCAACATCACAGTCAACATGTATGGATGATATTTGTGCAAAGTTAAGATCAGTTGGTATTGGCAATGTTGATAGTTTTTATGCACAAAAAAGATTACCAACTTTAGAAGAGTTGCAAAAATATACCAGTATTTTAATTTATAGTTATAATTCATCAGCATTTTTAGATGGTCAATTAATGGGAGATGTTTTATCAGATTATGTCGACAATGGAGGTGGTGTGGTAGTAACCGTTTTCACCAATTGTAATAATTTAAGAAATGGTTTTCTTAAAGGTAGATTCCTCGAGCAAAATTACCATCCAATTATACCAGCAAGACAACACGATACAAATGGTAAAAAGCCATTGAACCTTGGTAAAGTTCATGTCCCAGATCATCCAATTCTCCATGGTGTTAAAAGTTTAGAAGGTGGTCGTTCATCATTCTTTTGTTTGGGTGCATTAAATCCAGAAGCAAAATTGGTTGCAGAGTGGTCAAATGGTGTTCCATTAATAGCAGATCTTAAAAAGAAAAGAGGTAGAGTTGTTGCCTTGAACTTTTTCCCACCATCAAGTGACACCGGTGATCCTAGATTTTGGAACTCAAATACTGATGGTAGTTTAATGATGGCAAACTCATTGGTTTATGTCGGGAAAAGCTCGATATTTAGAAAAGCAAGGCTAGAAGGTGCCTCATATGTTAGTGATCCAAAAAACAAGGAGAGTTCTGATTCAAGAAACAATTCGAGTTCCGATTTAAGAAATGGTGATCCTTTAAACCAGTCTGGTAATGCTTCAAAAAGAGACTCAAAGAGACATAGGTTTCTATCAGGGAAACGATTTTCATTTTTTAAACTATTTTCAAACAAAAAAAACAACTTAAATAATCAACAACAACAAAATAATCCATAAAAAAACATTAATTTTTATATAGAAATATAAAAAAAAAAAAATAATAATAAAATTAAAAAATAATAATTTTTTATAGTATTTTATTTTTAAATTAAAAATATACTGATAAAACCATATAATTGATTTTATTGTTTATTTTTTTATTTTTTCTATAAATCTAAATTTCATCATGATTTATATTGCTTGCATAAACATAATTATTTGCGTAGTTATAATTATTTGGATTAAAATACTCCTCGTCTATAAAATTATCTTCGTTTGTATTATCATCACTGTCACTATTTGAGTTTGAATTGGTATTTTGAATATCTTTTAAAAAATTTATGTTATTTGATTCTAAAAATGGAAAAGCCTTGTTAAGTAATGAAGTATTTAAAATATCCAATAAGGCCTTTCTAAATGACTGCATTTTCAAAATCATACTTGTTTCGGCAATTTGTAAATGATTATCGCAAAGGAATTTGATAGCTTCGTTTAAGAGGAATGTTGATTCATAGATATCTGTCAACTTGAATATATTGTAGATGTTATAGATACTAAACTCCTTTATGATTAATGTTTCTACTACAAGCTTTAAACGGTTTATCATAAATCTATTGGCAGCAATAAATAGTTGAATATAGTCATCAAAGCCTAAATTGATTGGTTGAATATGATGATTGTTTGGTTTTCGAGAGGTTCCGTCATCAGCCTCTATTAGTGGAACTGAATTCTTTGAATTGTTGGTTGGTGGATTTGTTAGTTTACTACAAAGAACTTCGCCGGTGTAAAGATATTGTAAAACTAATAAAAATGTTGAATGCGAAATAGATTCCATTTGAACCTCTCCTTTAATACTTTCACTGAGTGGAACTTCAAACATTGCCCTAAAGTAATCTGATCTTGCACAAAGTATTCCTTTCCAAGCATATACAGGTTTATCCTCGACAATGAATGTAACATCTTTATACTCAGGATTATTGACAAGGAATAGCATATCTCTGCCAAGAGAGCATGGTGGAATTTGGCTTTCGATGTTGTAGTTATTTAAATATCGAAGTCTCTTTGTAACCAACTTCATTAAAAGCTTTGGTGATTTATGGATATCAGCTGAATTTTGAACCAAAAATATTGTACAAAGTATATCATCGTTTTTAATAGCATCATTGATTGCTGGTGCAAAAACATTACAATTAATACTAGCACCACGGGACATTAATAGTTCTAAAAGCTTCATATTTCCATTAATTACTGACTTGTGGAGTGGAGTTTGGTTAAGGTCGTCAAACGTAAAGAGTTTATCTGGTTGGTCACAATAATCTAGAATCAATTGTACAATATAGTATTCGTTTGCTGATACCGCTAAATGAAGCGAATTTCTATTATCTTTGGTAACAAGGGATGGATCTGCTCCTTTTTCTAATAAAATTTTTACAAATGATGCTTTACCTTTAATAATTGCTTTATGTAAGGGTGTGAACCCATCACTATCGAAAATATTAATTTTGAGTGGTGTAACAGATTTCTTAATTTCATTTGGTGGATTTGTTAAAGAGTGTAAAAAGTTTACAATAGTTTGGTTTGTAAGTTCATTATTATTAATAATTGATTTGTTATTTGTAACTGTGGTGGTTGTTGTGGTTGTGGTTATGGTTGTGGTTGTTGTATTTGTAGATGCAGATACAGAGGACGAGTTTAATTTTTCTCCCAAAACAGATGGCTGGCTTGGACTATTATTGGAACTTGATTCGTTTTGATCCAACTGAGAATCTACAGGATTGTCACAATTTGAATCATCTTGGCCTTCATTATTACTTGAAAATGAAACCTCTTCATTACTATTCACCAATTCACCAGATCTTGAAATTTTATTAACTTGTTTTTGTTGTTGTTGATTTGATTTTCTTTCAATATTCTTATCACTACAGCCATATTTAATTAAAATTGCCAATAACTTTGGATCACCTAAATAAATTGCCCAATGAAGTGGAGATCTACCATTCTTGTCAACAACATTTAAATCTGCGCCCCATTGAATTAATATCTCTACACACCAAATTCTATTTACCCTAATGGCTAGTTCTAATGGAGTTACCTTTAAATGGTTTTTATCATTTACATTTGCACCATGCTTTACCAAGAGTCTAGCAACTTCTATATGACCATTTAAAACAGCTTTATGGAGTGGAGTATAACCTTCACCATCTTTACAATTAATATCAGCCCCACCAACGGTTATAAGAACTTCAGCAGTTGGTAAATCACCGTTATAGGCACACCAATCCAACGGAGTTCTTCCTTTAGTATCAGTAATATTTGGGTTAGCACCTTTTAGCAATAATAACCTAACAGCATCTTGCGAGCCTTTGTATGATGAAACATGTAATGGTGATAAAACCCAATCGTTAATAGCCTCACGTACCTTTTTTCTTGTAAAGTCATTAATAATTTCCATTTGTAACTCTATAATAATTGAATCATCAACAGTTTTTAGAAATCCACTTGAATTTGAATCATAAAGTGAACTTAGTTTCATAAATTGAGGAAAGCCCCAATCTTCTACATTTTCTTTAAATTTTTTACCTTCGACTAATAAAAAAAAAAAAAACTATTAGTGACTTATTTTTTATAAAAAAATAAATTATATTTAAAAATACTAACCTTGACGTGTAAATTTTGTTCCATTTTTTTGATCTATTAATGAAAATTTAAAACTAACCAAGAAGAACCAATCTGGTGGTAAAGAGGACTTGTCCGCAACTTTTAAGTAAATTGATAGATTATTACCACCATTTTTCCCTTTTGGATAGAGTGCAATGGTCCATTTACAAATGCCAACTTTGAATACAGGACTTGTGGCTCTTTCTTTCATATAGGAAACATCTTGAATTTTCCAAGTATAAATTGAGGCTTCTTCGTTCTGATAAGTTGAATTATGTAATACTTCAATTTTAAAATCGACAAACAGCGCATCATTTAAAAGGAACCCAGACTTCTTATCTTTAAGCATTTCTTTTTTTATTATTTGAGAGAACCCCAGGTCAGTATGGCCACGATGAAATCTATGGCCCAAAACATCACGAGTGACCTTTTTGCTTGAATCCAAATGATTATGAATTGTAAATGTGAAATTTGCCAAGTGGGACCATCCATCAGTCAAACTTTCATAATTTGCAACCTCTAGGTAGAGAGAAAAGTTTTCATCAGATTTTGAACCACGAGGATATGCCACAAGTTTCCATGAGTGACCAGATACCAAAAATGTGTTACTCTGAATTTTTCTTTCTTTAATCTTACTAAAGTTTTCTATTTTCCATGTATAAGTGCCAGTACTATTTGTGACGGAATAGGACATTGGAATTCCCGGATTGGTTGGTAACTTTTCATTTATATCTGCTCCATAGTTATGCAATACCTTCATACATTCCTTCCAATTGTTTAGTACTGAATACATAAAAGGTGTATATCCTTCACTATTCTTCACATTCACATTGACTTGATTGGTTTGTAATAAATTATTGTTTTGTGCAAACTTTAATATACTTTCTATTGAATCTGAATGACCAAACATTGCTGCCTTGTGTAAACAAGTATCACCTTTTTCATCTCGTTTATTAATCTTTTTCCAATCCTTTTTTAAATATTTATTTATTAACTCTGTATTTCCTTTTCGTGCTGCCTCTATAATTTTGGGTGTGGTATCTTTATTATTTGTTGATAAACTATTTGTTAAATTCATTGATGATACTGAACTATTTAACATCATCATTGAATTATAACTAGAATTATTACTATTATTATTGTTATTATTGTTGATATTATTAACATTATTATTACTATTATTTACATTTTGGTTACTAACTAAACCATTTGATGATGAATATATACTATTGGTTGTTCCATTATTTATTGTATTATTTAAATTATTTGAACTCGTTGAAAAATTAGACATTATTTCTATATATTATTTTACTCTATATATATTCTATTTATATTCTATATATTACAATGTATCTATTTTTTTAAAAAAAAATAAACTATTTAACTATAAAGGGGATTACTATTACATACAAAAATATTAATATACAAAAATAAATAAAGTGTTGTTACTTTAGTTCATACTAAAGTAGTTATTGTTGATAAAAAAAAAAAATTAAAAAAATCTAAATCTTTATATTTATATTTATATTTTCAAAGTGTTGAATATAAAATAAATAACTATAAAATAAATAAATAAATAAATAAATAAATAAATAAATAAATAAAAAAACAAATAATATGTACAATAAAAAAAAAAGGATTAAAATTAATTTACATTAAAATTAATTATAAAATAAAAAAAAATTTTTATTTTTTAAATTAAAAAAAAAAAAACACAAAAAAAAAAAATTAAAAAAAAAAATAAAATTTTTTTAAAATAATATTTTTTTTATCATTTATCATTACCAAAAATAAAACAAAATAAAATAAAATAAAAAAAATAAACCCTAGACAATATCATAATATATAAAAGCCCACCTGAGTGTAGATGAAATAATAACCAAATTAAACACCATTATAACAAACCTCCTATATTAATAGATTTTATAATAAACCACCTTAATAAATAATGAACTCGCTTTCAATTTTAAATAATATTGAAGAAAAAGTAGTGGATGCAATTAATACAGCGGCATTATCAATAGACTCATTATCAGATTCGCTAAATGTAGAAGATTCACCTGAAAATTTTAATAGATTCCAATCACTCTCTGATAGATTTTATTCAATTGTCAAAAAAGATATTCATAAAGGTTTAATTGATTTTATAGACTCTATGACTGACATAGCGCCATTTGATCACTCTAGTTATTTAAAGAAAGCGGAATTAGATGTATCTCATAGTTTTACCGAAATCATTTTAAGTCATTTAGATGATCTAAACACAATTATTGAAAACCATCAATTACAACAACAACAACAAATACAACAAAAAGAACTTAAAGAAAAAGAAAAAGAAAAACTATTAAATCAAACCAATCAAATAGATAACCCCACTTCAATAAATACCGAAATGAATGTGGACTAAAAGCAAATAAAAAAAAAAAAAAAACTAATCATTTATTATTTTATAAATATAAATAAAAAAAATAATAAACTTTTGTATATATATTTTAATATCTATCATTTAAATAGATTTAAACTAAATAAACCTTTCTAATTTAATTTATTCTTTTGTTATATTTAAATAGAATTATTTTTTTTTTGGTTATATATAACTATATTATATATAATTATATTATTATATAATTTATTTTTTATTATTTTATATTATATTATTATTATTATTATTATTGTAGCAAGCCAGAATCTTCTTCTTCATCACCAAATGGTGATTCCTCGCTATCAAATAAATTATCATTTAATCTTGAGTTTTTATTTACAAGTCTTTGATGATTTAAGAAATCTCTATTTTGGTCCAATTGTTGTTGTAAGAGATTTCTTCTTCTAATTTCATCTGTAGTATTGGATTGAGATCTTCTATGACCTCTAGCCCCTCTTAGTGGTGGTGGCATTAAAGAGTTACCGCTGGGATTTTTTTGACCATAAGGCTGTTGTTGTGGTGGTTGGTGACCATGATTATTAATTGATGATGATGAACTATTTAATGAGTTTGGAGCAGACACGGGTATACCAGATTGGAATGATACTGAGTGTTGAATTGGTTGCCCATTGTGAATTGGTTGTTGTAATGGTTGTTGTGGTGGTCCATTGATTGAAAAGTTGTCAAATGGATGTGGTTGAACATTTGAGTGGGATGCTTGTTGTGGGTGTAACTGTTGTTGTATTTGTTGTTGTTGGACATGAGCATTTATAACATTTGAATTTGAGTGAGATAAACGACCAAGTGAAGGTGAGTGTGGTGGTGATGGTGTTGGTGTTAAAATATAAGTATATAAACGAGCATCCTCCAATGATGCAGAGTGTGGAAATTTACCAAACTGTGTTGATGGTGGTAATGGTGGTTTTTTGGCTCCAATAATAGGTGACATTTGTTGATTTGGTGTATTTGAAGAATTTGGTGAAACAATACCCTGCTGTTGTTGTTGTTGAAGAAAACGTGGTGATGGTATAGTAGAATTATTATCCCCAAATCCTCCAAAATCATTTCCATTGGTTGTTGTAGTTGTGGTTGTGGTTGTGGTTGTAGTATTAAATGGATTAAAAGTTGGTTCAGTTGAGAATGGGTTACCTGTACTTTCGAATGATGAGCCTAAACTTGGACCATTTGTATTATTTATATCTGATGAGCTTGCATTTAACCTGCCATTTATATTATTTGAACTATTGGATCTAACGATAGTAAATGATGGTGCAACATTTGGTAAAGTTGGGAAGAATATATCAGAAAAGCAAGGTAATTGACCTAATTTGTTATATTGATCTCTTAAACGATGATACATATTCTGAAATTGGTTAACACTATTGAATAACTTTCTATCGACATCAGGGAAAATCTTTGATAATGATTCGATTGATCCGCTTATAAAACAAAATATGGAATATGAAGAACTATTTAAAATATTAACAATGTGTTGTAGTAGTTGATGTGGTATTTGTATAATATCCGGATATGGTGCTATAGCATTACTATTTACTGCCAAATTTACTGCTGTTGGTGATGTTGGTGAAACACTAATACTAGGCGAGCCTATATTACCATTACAATACTCTGCCAATGAATTTTGAACTAAAAATATATGATCCATAATCTCTAATAAACATTTAATAACACTAACACTTATTGGATGGTTTGAACTGTCCAATGATTCTGGTAAACCCCATTTCATTTCTTCGAATGCAAATCCACCATCAATCATATAGTTTTTATGATGGAAATTTACAAATTTAAATAATAAACATGAATATTGGGCTAAAAGTTCACCTAAAAATAAATCTAAAGAAAATTAAATATTAATAAAAGTTAAAGTATGTTTTTATATTTAATACTATTTTACTTACATCTGTCTCTTTGCTTTAACCAACCTAAATATAAATTATTAAATAAATCCTTACTATCATAGACATCATTTTTAAATGATAAATTATTTCCTTCATATAACAATACATGGACCAATAACAAAGATTTTAAACAAACCAATGGTTCTTTTAATGGTCTTTTAACGATCATATGCATTATACCCTTACCAGGCTTTAATGATTTTAATTTTAGTAATAATGCAGTATCGTATGGCACAAACTCTGAACTTGTTAACATATTAACAATATTAAAGATTTCTTCGTTTGGTGGTTGTGGTAATGGTTGATCAAATGGGTTTAAACTACGTGGTGATTCTTTATAAGAATCCTCTAAACTCATATTTGGGTTGCTATTGGTGTGTGAATGACCTGGTACAAATGTAACTGGTTGAAGTGATGGTGTTGATGATGGTGTCGCTCTTCTTTTAGTTTGGTTTGGACTTGGTTGTTGTATTGATAAAGATCCCATACCATTTGTAACATTATTTATATTATGATTTTCATATGAATCTGTATTATTTATAACGGATGATGATGGTAATGGTGATGGATTATGTTGTTGCTGTAATGTTGTTGGAATTGATGGTTGTTGAATATTACTATTATTATTATTATTATTATTTCCAACCTTTGGTAATGGTTTTGGAGGTATACTTTTAACTGGGCTATTATTATTACTATTGCTGTTATTATTGTTATTATTATTTAAAATATTTGATTTATGTGATGAAAATAATGGCGGTAAATTTCTTAATGCACATATTTGGTTTGTAATTTCAAAAATATTTGGTCTTGAAGCTGGATCAGGACTTAACATTACTCTAATTAAATTTATTAAATCATTTGAATATGTTGTAGGTGGGATTGTATAGTTTGCATTTAAAATACCTAATGAACCTGAATCTTCAAATGGAGTTGTATAAAATAGTAACTTGTACAATAAACAACCCAAAGCCCAAATATCAATCTTTTCATTGATAACATTCGATCTATATAAATCTACAATTTCTGGTGCTCTATATTGTAATGTTGTATGTCTTTGAATATCATCCTCGGCTATTTGCATATCTGATTTATTTTTTATATGAACTATCTCTTGTGTTGCTGAACCAAAATCACATAACTTGTATATACCACTCTCCTCGTCTAATAAAACATTCTCTACCTTTAAATCTCTGTGAATAATTGGGGGTGATTGTGAGTGCATATAAGCCACGCCTTCACAAACATCTTGAAATATTTTCAATACCTCCTGATCTGTAAATCTGCCTGTGCTGCTATTCATTCGTTTTTGCATCAATTCCACTAAATGTCCCCCTGAACAAAATTCCATTAATATAAAAACTTCTGTATTATTTTTATCACTAGTTTTGTGGTAATCAAAATATTTTACAATATTTTTATTTTTTGTTAATTTTTTCTAAAAAGTATAATGTTAGTAAAGTGGGCTATTTAGAAAAAAAAAATATTTAAAATCTTACCATAATTGAAATTTCATGTTTGACTTCCTTTAACTCATCATCTTCTCTAATTAAAATTCTTTTTAATGCATAGTGTTTTGATGTATTTGAATCTTTCACTAAAAAAACATATGAGAACCCACCTAAATAAATGATGATCAAAAAAAAAAAAAAACATAAGTATTTTGTTAAAGCTAAATTTAGGAATTTTTTTATAAGTCTCCATACCTTCTGCAATTTGTTTAACAAAATTTAAATGATAAGATCCAATTTTTAATGTCTTTCCTTGATGATTACCCATTATTTATATAAATAAATGTGAATTTATTTTATTACTTATTTACTTAATTATTTATTAATTTATTTATTTATTTATATAATTTTAAAATTATAATATTTTAATATTTTAATATTTTTTACATAAAATTAAAAAAAATATACAACATGAAAAAAATACAATTATTTTAAATTAAAATTTTAAAAAAAAAAAAAAAAAAAAGAATTTAATACACACAATATAAAAATAATAAAAACACTTTATATTTGCTATTATTGAAATAGGTTAATTATTTTTTTGTTTATTATTATTATTATTATTATTGTTATTATTGTTGCTAAATTATAACAATGTGAATAATGATACAAAAAATAAATTAAAAAAAAAATATTATATTACAATAGTTAGAACTATTTTATATAAATATATATTAACTATTTTTTTTATATTAATGTATTTATGTAATGTAATTTTATTTAATTAAGATCCTTGAGAAAAATAAAGAAAACAATATAAATAAAAACTTGTTAAAAAGAAAAAAAAAAATTAAAAAAAATAATTAATTTTTTCAAAAAAAATTATTTTTATTTATTTTTTTTTTATTTTTTTTAATTTTTTTTTTTTTTTTATTAATATTAATATGATGAACATTCAAAATTAATTATAATAATGAAAATTTAATTTTCTTTTATTAATCCATTTCCAAATAAACAAAATTTAAAAATTAAATGAAAATTAAAAAATAGTTATATAAAGGATCACATAATAAATTTTAAAAGAAAGGGGTGTTTTTTTTTTTTTTTTTTTTTCCTTAAAAATCCTCTTTTATTTGGTTTTGTTTTTGACTTTTTCTTTGCAACACAATATGTGGAGAATACAATTATTGAATTTAATAAGAGGTCTTGTTAAATACCTTTTATTCATCTTTTATTTGATTGTGATAAAACAATTGATTATTATTATTTATCACATTGGACTATATATGATAAGAATTTTTTGTAAATAAGTTTTCAAATTCGAGTGATTGCGTAATTTTTTTTTACTTTTTTTTTTTTTTATTATAATTCTTTGTTTTTTATTTATTAGGGGTGTTAAAAGGTTCTAATGAATGTCCCCAAAAAAAAAAAAAATTCAGATAAAAAAATTCAAAAAAAACAACTACGTTAGGGAAAAAAAAAAAAGAATGAAAAAAAAAAATTATATATTAAATTATTAAATTTTTAAATTATTAAATTATTAAAATTATTATTTTAATAAATTTTAAAATCTAAAAAAAAAAACTTAATATTTATAAATTAATTTTTAAAAAAACAAACTAAGTTTTTTATTTTTTTTTAAAATTAATTTTCTTTTTTTTTTTAACTAAAATTATAGTTTTTTATTCGTATTGTTTAATAATAATATAGCTATTTAAATATTAATTATTATATAGTGGATTAGATATATAAATTAACTACACACATATTCACACACATTTTTATATAAATCAGTCCATTTTTAATTTTTAAAATTTTAAAAATTAATTTTTACTCATAAATCCTCAATACCACATTAGTCAAAAATAGGATAATTAATTTATAGTGTATAATACTATATTGTTAAATTAAAAAAAATATATTATCATAATTCTTTTTTTATCAATTTAAAATTGTATTGGAAATAAACAAATATAGTTTACATATAATAATAATAATTTATTAATAAAAAAAAAATAGTTTTTAAAAAAAAAAAAAAAAAACACACGCAAACACATTTGTTCATTTAAATTTTTTTTTTTTATTTTATTTTTTTAAAATTATTTTTTAAATTATTTTTTTTTTTTTTAATTTTTGCATTACAATAATTATTTTTTAAATTATTTTTTTCGTTTATATATATAATTTATTATTTATATATAATAAAAACCCCAATAATAATAACAATAATAAACAATAATAAAAAACTTACAATAATAAAAAACACTCATACAAAATTTTTCAAAATAAATTAAAATTTAATTTTTTTTTATCATTATTTATTTATTTTTTTATTTTTTTTTCCCATATAATAAATTTAAAACACATATAAATTTCTATATTATATAAATTACTATAAAAAAAAATGTCACAACCGTAAGTAAATTAATGAATAGATAAAGAGAAAGAAAAAAAAAAAAAAAAAGAGGCGCTGATACTAATACAAAAAAAATTAAAAAAATTAAAATTTTAGAAACAATAAAGTTAAAGAAACTCAACAACAAGTTGATGAGGTTACAGGTATTATGAACAATGCTATTGGTCAAATGTTAGATAATCAACAAAAAGTTTCAGATTTACAAGATAAATCAGAAAATATGAAACAAGGTGCATCTCAATTCAAAAAGAAGACAAATCAAGTTAAACGTTTAATGTGGTGCAGAAATATCAAACTTACTCTTATTATCATTGCAATCGTTTTAATTTTAATAGCAGTTATTGTTGTACCAATTGTCGTCCACTTTACATAGAATTAGTTAAATATAATAACAGAGAATAGTAAAAGGTTTAAAGAATAGTGTACAAAATATTAAATAATATATATTTATTGTTTTCACACCTGTTCTTCTTTTATCTATTTCTTTATTTATATAGATATAAAAAAAAAAAAAAAAAAAAAAAATAAAAACAATTTATTTGTAAATAATACACCTATGAAGGAACCAAAAAAAAAAACATTTGTTTCAGAAAAATAATTTTTAAACTATTTTATTTTTATTAGCAAAAAAAAAAAACAAAAGAAATAAAAACTATATATTTAAAAAAATGTATTTCGCTTTATTATTTTTTATTAAAATAATAATTAAACTATTTTTATTTTCATTTTTTATATTTATCTTATTTTCATTATCGGATTTACTAGAGCCGGTGAAATTAAACCTATTTTGGGTGATTCAGTACATTCGAATTGTTGTTGTTGTTGTTGCTGTTGTTGTTGGGTTTTTGGTTTTTCATTTTGTTGTTTTGAAAATAACTTAAACTTCTTTGCATTTAAATTTCTATTCCCTATATCATTTAAATTATTGTAAATCAAACTTTTTAAATAATAGATTTCTTTTAACAAGTTATTATTGTTGTTTTCGTTGGTATTATTTAAGGTTATTAGATTTTCAGATTTTGATAGATAATCTAGTGCTTGTGCTGGTGAAGATAATATACATTTTGACCATAAGATATATAGTTCGGAATAAAGGTTATTATTTGATACTACAAATGGTAAGGTTTCTTGAATTAGGTTTTCAGCAAGAGGTAACCTATTGGCATTAATATGGATTTTAATAAGTGCTATATTTGATTCTGCTATAGACTGTTGGAGATGATAATGGTTTGAAACGGATAGTGCATAAAGTGTGTCGGATAGACCACTGAATGGTGATGGTGTATGTTCATAGATCTTTGAGAGTAATGTATAAAGATAGGGTGTTTGGGAATCTAAACCGAAATCTTTTGAAATACCTATGGCTTTGATTAAAAGGTTGAAAGCTTTTTCGTACATTCCTCTTTGGTAAATATAATATTTTATAATTTTTTGATAAACCAATAGAATTTGGTACCAGCCAGGGCCGTCTTTACTGTCATCCGATTGAAACCTATTTGTTAGATTGATTAACGATTCGATAGTAGTTGAGATCATTGGAGTTGTTGATGGGGTTGCATTGTTTTCAATCAAATAATCAAATAATATTGTTAGAGTTGTAAATGATAATAAATTACCACAAAGGAATTGGGTCCTGTAGATACTGAAGCATTTGACTAGGGTTTGAATTGCTTCTTTATATTTTGATTTTTTTGATAATAATAATGCTAATTTGCAATATGAAACTAAATCTGGTTCTTCAGAGTTATTTGGGTAGTACCCATTTTTGCTATTGATTTGATAGTTTGTTGATATTGAACGAAGTGGGTCACGTTGTAATGATAAGCTATTTGCTAAATATGTTTTCATTGCTAATTCTGTAAAAAACTGAGCTAAATCGTTATTGCCAAGAAGTTCCCAAGCTGTTGAATATAAATAGTGTGCAACAGTTGTATTATTTGGAGTTTTATCTAAAAGTTTTGAAATTTCAATTGGTTGGAATATATCGCTCCATGTTGATGATACTGATGATACTGAGCTATTATTATTACCAGTATTATTGCTATTACTATTATTATTGTTGTTATTGTTATTGTTGCCACTATTATTATTAGCACCACCACTATTTATTAAGTTATTAAAGTTGTAGTTTAATAATGAGTTCATTTTATTGTTATTTGATAGTTCTCCATTTTCTAATTTAAATTTTGAAAAAGCTAAATGGTTCAAAGCCAAAAGATCGGGCATATCAAGGTTACCAGCTCTGTCGATGGATTTTTTTAAAATCTCTATATCGTTATGTGAAACAAGTAAATATTGTAAGAGGTTTGGTGATTCCATGCTATTGAAAACAGATTTTTTTAATAATCTTGCTAGCCAGTGATCCGCTAATGCTAAACATGAATGGTCGCCACGCTCCTGTGCTATTCTGATCGCTTCTCTAAGTGCTAGGTAACTTTCTTCAAAATTACCAAAATGGTAGTGTAGTTTAACCAGGTTCAAAACTGCATATGGAAGCATTACATTGGTTGTATCCATTATACTGCCACTGAGATTAGATTGGTTTACTATCACTTGGCCATTGACATAATCAAAATATCTGTGCAAATCTTCTAAACTGCTTTCATAATCTTGATACTCGATATTTGAGAGTAACGATATTAAATGCACTCTTTTAACATTGGGTAACGCTTGTTTTAGTTGGTTTATTTGGAAATCAATTTCTTTTGGATCGACTTTACCAATCATAGAGTTGATTCTAACGGTCTCTTCGTAGACAAACTTTTCTTCATCTAATGGTGATAAAAATTTTAATTTGATTTTTGATAGCGTAAATTCATTTTCCTCATACTTTTTTTCTTGATGCTTTTGATGTTTCTCAGTATCGTTATCGTTGTTCTCTATGTCTTCCATATCATCAATGCTTTCATCCATGTTTTGACTGATGTTGTTTCTATTCGTTTCTTCTTGTTCCTCCTCTTGCTCTTTTAGTCTTCTTTCAGCCTCACTATAAAAGTCATTTAAATACTGTGTTAACTGGTCATAAAGTTTAATTAAGCCATCGAATAAAATTTGATTAAAATTAAGCAAAACCTTTTTGACAAACGAACCTAAAATGCTTTTAAAATCTAATAGAGGTGCGTTCTTTAATTCACCACTATTTCCATTTTCATCGGCCCCAATCGGTTGGAATAGGTTTTTTAGCTGTGACATAAATCCATATATATCGTCAATACTATCGAATTGCACCATTTCAAGAAATTCATTATTTAAAAATTGAAGGGGTAAAACAGTTCTTAATTCCTTATCTATAAATTCGTATAATGATAGTTCGGATCCTAAATCATTATAATTTGTTTCCTAAAGTTATTATTATTATAATATTATTATTATTTTTAAAAAGAATAAATAAGAATTTCATTTATATAAAATAGTATAATTAAATAAAGGTCAATACCAACCTTAACATGTTTGATTAACAAATGTGATAATGCTTGCTTATGATGGTAGTTGATATTACCAGTAATATAATAGTCAATTAAAATACATATTGTAATTTTGTGAGGAGTTAATCTATATTTATCCATTTAACGATAATTTCATTATAAAAAGAAATAATGCTAATTATGTATTTTTTTTTTTTAATTTAAAAAAAATTAAAATTTTTTTTTTTTTTTTTAAATTTTTATTTTTATAAAAAGCGCTCAAAATTTTTTTTTTACATTTTTTATCTCTTATATTACACATTTATAAAAACATGTTTATTTGTTCATCAAATTAATTCCACACTTTTTTATTTTTATTTATTTATTATTATTCAACAATACCTTGCTACGTTTAATAAAATTTCTTTTTTTATTTTATTTTTTTTAATTTTAATTTTTGGTGTATTTATGAAATTTAATAGTTTTTTAAATAATATATATTATTAAATTTTTATAAAATATCTTTATAAAGAAAAAACCATTATTAATAAAACTTGTAAGTATTATTAAAAAAGTAATTTTTATTTTATTTTTTATTATTTTTTATTATTTTTTTAAAATTTTATTAATTATTTTTTCCTTTTTTGTTTTTATAGAATTTTTTATTTTTTATAATTTTTAAATTATAAAAAAAAAAAAGTATAAATAAAATGAAAAATATAAAACTCATTCATTTTAAATAATTAATAAAAATGGAAACTAAAACAACAAAAACTACAAAAACCACAACTACAAATAGTAAATATTATTATTTTTATTTATATTTCTATTTAAATAATTAAATTACTAAATTTATTTTATTTATTTATAGACTCAAGTGACGAGTTCATGGGTAATGTTAAAGGTGCAATAGAAAAAGGTTGGGAAAAAACTAAAGAAACTGCCAGAGATTTAGGAAAAACTTTTACAGATTCCCTTCCAAATGAAAATAGCTTCACTGACCGTTATGACGATCCAAAGGATAGCTACAAGAAAAAAACAACTGTTGAATCTAAAAATGACTTGACAGGTAGCAAAACCAAAACTGTTACTGAAGAAAAAGTAGAAAATAAATTCTAAACTAACAATAATTAATTAACAACAAATAATAAAACAATCAGATAATAAAACTTTTCTTTTTTTAAAGACTATCAAAATGTGTTATAATTTATTTTTACAAAATCGTTTTTGATTTCCAACTTTAATGTTAATGTTAATGTTATATATATTTTTATATTTTTCATTTAAAATTTAAATCTCGTATATCTGTAGTATAATGAGATACATTATATATTTTTGGAGGAGATGTTTACATGAATTTTTAAACAAATCAAATATAAAGTAGATAAGAAAGTATTTAAATTGAAATTAATATATTTTAAAATTAATAAATATATTATTAAATATTCATTATAAAATATAAAATATTATTTATTAATTTTAAAATTCAAAAATTATTTTTAACCCCACTATATTTTAACTTTTTATTTTATTTTATTTTTTTATTTAATAATAGAAATTAAAATTTATATTTCTACAATATTATAAAATATATAAATGAATAGTTTGTGTTTAGAGTTATTAAATAGAGTTGAAAAGTTACAATACATTAACACTAATAGAAAAAAAAATGGGTTTTATTATGAAGAAAAAGGTTTTTTCAGTATGGATATTCATTTTAATTTTACAGGTAATGAAATTATGACCGAAGCTAGAAAAAAATTAAAAGTCCCTGATGGAAATGGATTTACCACCAATTTTATTATTTATTGTTTGTTAGAGTCAAAAAAAATAAACTCTTCAATCAATTTAAATAAAAAAGTAGTCAAAAGAGCATTTAAAGCAATGTCCAAATGTTATGATAACAACTCTTGCGATGGTAAATATGGATTCTGGATTCAAAAGCATGATAATGAGAACAACATTTTCGTTCAAAGTCCAGTTAACTACCAACTCCTTGTAAATGAATCAGCCCATTTCACTGATGAATCGTTAACAAAACTATTCGGAATTAAAAAAAGAAATGAATTCAACTCTACCTTTAGCTACTCATCAAAGAAATGTTTAAGCATTCCATCAGATAATGACAGCACATCTATTAATTATGCATTGGGTTCATCTATTTTCGATTTAAGAAATGAGTTCCCAGACTCATATCAATATTGGCAATCAAAGAATAATGATCTTCAAAATTACTTTCAAATTATTTCAAAATATTCTTACAGACCATTTTCAAGTAACACTGATGAAAATTCAATTGATCCTAGAACCTATTATTTTGTAAGAGGATTTATTAAAGAATGGTTAGAAAGTGGTAGAAAAAAAGAGGATTTAATATTACCAATGGTGTATGCTATGAACCAGACAGAGCAATTAAATGTATTTCCCCATATTCAAATACCATCACTTTCAAATCATATTGACATTTCAATTCTTGCAAATGTTTTATTTGCCATAATATCCTCCATAAAGTGCAAGCCCCATATGAAAATCACCAATGATATTAATAATATTTTAATTTCAATTGTGTTGTTAATAGAATATGTTTTAAAAACTAAACTATTATTTAAAAGAGCAGACCTTACTGTTTTTTACTATCCATCACTGTATCCTGTTTTTTGGTTTATTTCAAGATCACTAAACACATTGAAAGATTTCAAATTAAATTCAAATAGTTTCCCTAAAAGTGTAAGTTATAAAAATAAAATAATATAAATAATATAAATAATATAATATTTTTTTTCTAAAAAATTTTTATTTTTTTCAAAAAAAAAAAGTTAAAAACAGTATTACAAAATTTAAATAATATATGCAAATCTTATATTACCAAATTTTTATTAAAAAAAGTTAAGAGAAGTGCCAATGAATGCTATTGGGAAGATTTTTTAGGAAATGGTGATAGTTTAGATGGGAAACCAGTTAATTACAGTGAAGATAGGTTTTTTTCTACCTCATGCGCAATTAATATATTGATAGATACATGGTCCACACCTATGCATAAAGGCTCAAACCAAATTAAATGGAAGGAAAATTTACCATCTGAAATAAAAAAGCTTGTTGATAGCTCATATAGTTATTTAATTGAAAATATTTTAAAAAACAAAGATATGGATAATAATATATTTTTTTCATCACACACCAAAGGAAAAGCAACCACAATCACAAACTATCCATCCAATATTACAATCGATGTTACTACGGGTGCCCATCATAGTGAATCAAATGCTGATGAATTGTTATCAAAAAAGATACTAGTCGCATTAGTTAGAGGTGTTATTGACGAAAATGAATATAATAAAATGCTCGATGAATCTAAAATTCAGTGGAATGGTAATTTTAATGGACACCCTTTCGTATACTGGTCATCACCCGCACTGACATATAGCATGTCATTGTTAGCTATATCAAAATACGAATCAATATCAAATAATATATAATAAAAAAATTTTAAAAAATATATATTATTATATCTTTTTAGTTTTTTTTTTTTTTTAAATAATTTATTTTATTTATTCTATTTATTATATTAATTTTATTCAATTTATTTAATTTTCTAAAACTATAGTTTAATCATATTACTCCTATTTTTAAAATTGAACCCTAATTTCTTTGAGAACCATATTTCAAAATATATTTGATATTATAGCCATTGTGACAGTTTTGCTTGATTAATAGTTTAGAAAGCTTCAGTTTTCAGCTCCATTCAAACCATTTGAGTTCAATTATAATACTTGGCCAGGGTAAATATAATGATATTCATCAAATAGTGAATAGGTTGAAAAACTTCGACTTAATTATTTTCATCTTTATTTGTATAACTGAATCTTTTTTATAATTTGATTATTTGTTGTTGTTGGTTATTATTGGTTTAATATCACTAATATATTTGAAAATTATGATTTTAAAAAACACGAGGGTGGAGCTGATTGTAGTTTATTGTTCTAATAATTTAATATATTTTTGAATTGTATGTTTCTAAACAATTGTTTCTAACTTAGTACAGTCAGTACAACTTTGTGAGAATTCTATATGTTAACTGGGTGATCCACTATAACAGATTCATATGCGATTCATCTAATTTAGTAACTGAATCTAACATTAAAAAAATTATTTAAGATTAGTTTGATGAAAATTTTCTTTTAAAAACAATTAAAAGTCTGAAACACATACCTAGTATTAGATTACCTACTACAATATATACAACAAAATGATTGTATTTGAAACTATCTGAACTATCTAACATTTAATTTATATGAACCTATTTCTAAAATTTTTAACTAAATGCACCATTTTACTTATTGTAAATAGATGTCTATATGTCCCTCTTCACAGGTGAAATTTAAGATTTTTTTGGACACTAACGATAATTACTAACCTATATTAATTCTTTTAATTTTCCTAATGCAACTAATTATACTAATGATTTTAAAATACTTCTAAATTGAACATCATCATTTGTTAATTAACAACTATTTTTTATTTGAAATGCTAAACCTTTCTTTTAAATTACCAATTTTTAATTTTTATTAATATTATTATAATTTATAAATTATTTTTTATAAAATTGGTACATACAGTGACTGGATAATTACCCCAGAAAATGAATTTTTTGGATGATGTTATATCTTCTAATTAATATATATTCAGTATTATTATAATTGTTTTTTGTTGGACTGTATCCACCACTTTATTGAGATTATTGTATGTATTAAAATAAATATTATTGTGATGAGTTATTTTTATGTCCATGATGATTATATTATAAAACAAAGCTTTATGGTCTATACCCCACTATTTTCATAAAATATTTCGAAAGATGGTTCTTTAACATTACTGTACTGTGGTTTTGGGATATTGAATGATATTGATGCACCTATTCAATGACATGATTCTGATTTATTGAATTGGTGATAAACAGATGGTTGTTTAATAAAAGGTTGGGTAGTGGGGTAAATGATTGTTGTTTGCCTGTGAAATTGTAGTTTCCCTCAGTTTTTAAACGTTGTTGATATTATGATGGTGCACCTGTAGTACTATAGCCTGATCCTTGTTGTTGATGTTTTTCTACATAAAATGGACTATCAAGTGGATCATATAGCGAATTAGAATCTATTATGCATTTGTTGAGGTTGGCTATAATAATATCTTGATTGTTGAACTGGTTGGGAATTAAATGATTGTGGTACATGTGAATACATAAAGCTTTGTTGTGGTTGGTTATAATGATATTGTGTTTGTTGAACTGGTGTGTGATTAAATGATTGAGGGGCAGGTGATTCATATAATTTTTTTGTGGTTGGTTATAATAATACTGTGATTGTTGAACTGGTGAGGAATTGAATGATTTTGGGGCAGGTGAATACATAATATTTTGTTGTGGTTGGTTCTTATAATATTGCGAATGTTGAACTGATGGGCTATTTTGGGCTACATTTGGATAGGTAGATGGTGTATGTAGTCTTTGCTCGAGATAGGATGTTAAAGAAACCGAATATTGTGTTGATGGGGTATTGTGTGAATAGGTGCCTTTGTTATTATTATTTTTGGTGTTTTTTTTGTTTTTTTTACAATATAATTTTAAAGGTGAAAAACATTTAAGATAAACAACCAATAAAAGAGTTATTAAAAATAATATAATAATTTGAATCATTTTTAAAATTAAGGTTATTGTGAAAGTGGTGAAAAAATGATGTGATGATTATTATGTGGTAAAGTGGGAAAATTAAAAAAAAAAAAAAGGTGTGTGAAAATAAAAAGGGGTGAAAAAAATTGAACTAGACTGGACGGAATAGACTAGACTTGTTTGAACTAAGATGGGTTAGGTAGAGCGCAAAAGAATGGAATAAAATAAGCTTTGAAAAATTGAAGTTTGACTTTGAATTTGTTAACTTTAATTTTTAAATAATTTTATTTTTTAAAATTTTTTATATTTACAATTGCTTTATGTATATATTATGGAAGAAAAAAAAAAAAATTTGTAAATTTATAATTTTAATTAATAATCAATAATAAAAAAAAAAAATTAAAAAATTAAAATTTTTAAAGAAATTTTTTTTTTAAAATGAAGTTGTGTTTAGAATTGGGGGTATAGTTTTTTATATATTATTATTATTGTATTTTAATTTATTTTTAATTTTAAATTGAGTATTTTGATTTATTATACTATTTGATATTGAAATCTCATTAAATTTGATTTAAAATGATACCCAAAACACCTGATTAACTTTTTCAATGTAAAAAAAGAAAATAAAAAAAAAGAAAAAATTAAAATTAATTAGAGTTAAAAAACAAATGATTATATATAGTGAAAAAATGTATTTTCTATATCGGTATCATCGCAGCTAAGTTACAAATCAAATGTTGGTGTTATTGTAATTCTTTCTTTTAAGTGTTACAACATTTATGTCACACATCAAAAATTGGGGTTTTTATTCTTTATTTTACAGTGTCAACACATTTTATGACATCAAGCATTGGGGTTTTATAGTATTCTTTGTAATTAGGTTATTAAATTTGTTTATTTAAACTCAAATTCAAATCAAAACATTTCTTTAAAAAAAATAAAACTATTTATATAAACAAATACACACATAAACAAATATTAATATAACTATATAATTTACTTTATAAAAAATAAAAAAAATAAATTAAAATTCATGTTAAATATTTTTTTATAATTTAAAATTTATTATTTATTAGTAAATTTAAAAAAAAATTATTAAAAAATAAAAAAAAAAATTATGTTGCTATCTAAAAAGAGAATATTCACTCATTATTTAATTGATGATTATTAAAAATATACATTATATATTATTTATGCAATGGGAATTGTGAAAATTTTAAAAAAGAAATTTTTAAACCATTAATTAAAAAAAAAAAAGGAAATTTTTTTAATAAATTAATTTAAATTATAATTTTATTTATTTATTTTATTTTAGCTTTCAATAATGTAAAATTCTTTTATATTGGTTTTTGGTGAGAACTTAGTATATAATTAGACACTATATCCATATTTAATTATCATTTATTTATTTTATTTAAGATGGATCAGAACTTGTCATGCCCATATGAAAATCTTTATTAATAAAGCACCAGTAGAAGTATCACTTTGGTCCTATCAAAAGAGAATACTTGCTAGAGGTTTCAAAGCTTTCAACATCAGCCATTCAAATGCCGAAAGAATGCAAGCCAAAGAAGTAGGTTGGTTTGGTGAAAATATTAGAAATGGTTTAATGAAATTCTTTTTCCAATTAATTCTTTTGGAAATAGTAAAACTAGATTAACCTTAAATACAAAAATAAAACAAACCATAAAAGACAATTTCATACATATTTATGATAATAAAAAATAAATATTTTTTTATATAACTTTTATTAATTTTGAACGTTTATATCTAAAATTTTATTGTTATTATTTACACGACTAATATCTATTGTTTTAGACTCTAAAGCCGTTGATTTTTTAAATTGTCTTGAATTGTGGAAGGTGTTCCAATTTCTTTCAATTAAACTATCGACTTGAAAACTATTTTGGAATTCCTTAAAACTCTTTTCTTCTTCACTTTCAAACTCTTCATTTTTTATATTTTCATTTCTAATATTAGAAATGACACTTTTTCTATTTTGCATAAACCCTTGGTGATTATTTACATGATTTTTGATTGAATCATTAAAACCTTTATTCGAAAAGCTTTGGTTTTCTCCATTTTTGGTTTGACTCATTCCTTTCTTTCTTTCTTTTTTCTTTCTTATTTGATTTTAGATGTTATTAAAAATGATAGATTTATTTGGATAAAAAAAAAAAAATAAAGAAACAATTTATAAATAATTAAAAAATAAAAAATAAAAAAATAAAATATAATTTTGAAAAAAATAACATTGGGGTGGTGTGTGTTTAATTACCATATTAATAAAATTATATTTTCGTGTGGTTATCTGAGGGTTAATTATATGCATGGATAAATGTTTATTTTTAGTTTAATGTGGGGAGTGGGGGTTGAAGTATACTATTAAAAAAGTAGTATTTTTGGAGAAAAAGATAAAATTAAAATACAATGATATATATCATTATAATGATTATATATAACTCTATAATTTTGTAGCATTTAAAAAAAAGTTATGATAATTATAGTTAATAAAAACAATCTAAAAATAATAAAATGTAAAAAACAAAACCAATGAGTTTTATTATGTGTTATTTTTTGATTTTAGTTTTTTTATTTTTAGATAATACCAAAACATCATTTATGATTATTTTAAAAAATATATAATTTTTAAAAAATTGAAATTTTAATTTTGTAAATACACACAATTTAAAAAATAAAAATAAATTTAATATTTGTAAAAAAAAAAAAAGAAATTTAGAAAATAATTATATTTTTGTAATTTTTTTTTATTAAATTTTATTTATTATTTACCTAAAATTATTTTTTTGTATTTAATATAACAATTTTAATTTTTAATTTTTTTTTATATATTAATTTATATTATACTATTATTTTTAATTATTATTTAAAAATAACCTTTTTTTTCGAAAATATCTAATACAAATAAACCAGAACTAACAAGTGAAAGGAAACCACCAATAACAATTAAAATGGTTGTGAGTGCGTATCTAACTGAATCAACTTTATAAGCTTTGGTAAGGATGTCGACTTGATCATCTGTAGCGGCAATAACATTGACACCCCAGAACATTGGATGAATAACATCAGATCTCATGTTAGAGTATCTGTTGTATGATGGGTTCTTTTCACCATCAATGCCTGGAACGTAACCATTAACTTGGAGTGAATAACGACCGTGAATAGCTTTACCTGAACGTGGTTCATAATCAGCAAATACATCTAAATCTTCTTGATCGTTGATTAATTCTTCGACACCAGCTTTATAGAAATAACCTGGAGCTAAACCCTTCATTCTTGGTCTTGATAAGAAAGCTGGAGCACCACCTTTAATACTGGTAAGATTCATAAGGAATGGAATGGTTTGGTAATAGTCTTGGTTAACTTGCCAGTTTTCATCTTTGACTCTGTAACGATAGTATGGGATACCATTGAAATCACCTCCAAATTCTTTGTAGAAAGTGAGTGAACGTGCATATTCTTCTGTGAAAACATTGACATCGGCTTCAATATCATCGAATAAATAGTTTGGTGGTAATTGTTCTGCAAATGAACCTGAAACTGGGATAAGAGTTTGATATTGCAATTTTGTTGCATTTTCAAAAGTAATTGGAGCTGAAACTTTGCCTATATCACCAACACCGGTAAAGATTGAATCAAAGTGGAGTTCTTTTTCTGCTTCCTCTTTAGTTTGAATATTTTCAAGTGGACTTGATTTCCAGTGTGATGGATCTTCGTCTTTTTTAAGAAGAGCTAAAAGTGGATCAATAGCATTAAAAAGCATATCGTGGACAGTATGTTTGGCAATTGGACCACCTGCATATTTACCAAAAACTTTAGATTCCATAACAGCATCACTGAAATTGGACAACATTGCATTAATATAGACACCCAATGCTCCAACTTGTTCTGCTGAGAAACCAGCGGCAACAAGTTGTTGTTGACCTTGTGGAGTTTTTAAAAGAGTAATAATAGTACCCATACCTGTTGGAGTGACTAAATTAATTTGACTTTTTTCTGAGGCTAAAACTTTGGTTTGTGCGAGTGAAAGTGAAACACCAGTATTAATACCAAATTCTGGGGGTGTGATAAGACCTAAAGTTGGGGCAAGTTCGGCAACAGATTTACCATTAGCAAGACCATCAGCTAAAGCCCATTGAAGTAAACCTAAATCATTGTTGGTACATGTGGATGTAACACATTCTGGGATGTTCTTTTTAATAGACATTGGAACTATGTTATTTTTTGTCAAAGTCCAATATTGAATAACAAAGGCAACAGAATCAGCTATATTTTTAAAAAAAAAAAAAAAAAAAAAAAAAAGTGAAAAAATTAATATAAAAATAATAATAATAATAAAAATAATTAATAATTAATAAAATACTTACAATCAAAAGAGAAAGGAGCAGCTGCAAGAGTAGTGGCAATACTTCCGGTTAAATATCCTTTGTATGAGTTTGTATCAATAATTGAACCGGTGGTTGCTGAAAAGAGATTTTGACATTGTGCTGAAGCAAAACCAGTTGGTGGAACACCGAAATTGTAAAATGAAAGTGGAATAGAACCTTTTTTGCTTTCGTCCAATAAATCATTACAAAAATCTATAGGAGATTTACCTTGGGCAATATAAGCATTTAAGTATTGACCATAGAGTAGTGGTGTCATCATTGGTAAAGCCATATCTACGAAAACTTGGGAGTTTAGTGTTGCCAATACTTGGCTAACATATGCAGCGGCCATACCAAGAGCGACAGCAGTTTCACCTAAAGGACCAGCTTGTTCGAGAACGGCAGCATAGGCTAAATTGAAATGATAAATAGTATCGGTAGTTGGATCTCTAGTACCATTGATTTGAGTTTGATTAAGTGGGTAATAACGTTTCCATAATTGGAATTTTAATCTCTCTTCATCATCATAAAGTTCATAGTTGATACGTTCGTAAACATATTTGTAATTGTATGGGCCTACCTCTTCGTATTTTGGTAATTCACCTTTGAGAACGTCTTCTGGATTGGTACAATTGTAAGCATAAAATTTATAAATTCTTTCGTTGTTTGGATCTTTTTCATTACCAATGAAACGAATCCATGGATCAACAATTTCGTCGGCGCCATTGTTTGGAATTACAACTGCTGCTTTTTCAAATTCATCATTAAGTACATTATGAACTACTGTGACGATAATAATACCAACGGCAATTAAAACCAAACCGATTGGAAATGAAACAAATCTTCCAATATGTTTCATTTTATAATACTATTATTATTTTATTTATATATTACAATTTGATTTTATTTTTAATTTAAATTTTGCTAAAAAAAAAAAAAAAAAATATATTTATTAATATTATATTATTTTAATGTACAGAAATATTTTTTTTTAGCGGTGGATGTGGTAGTTGTAGTAATAATATCAAAAATGAAATTTAATAATAAAAAAAAAAAATATGAAAAATAGTTGATGAGAAAAAAATAAAAATAAAATAAAAAAATAAAAAAAATAATTATAAATTTTTTTTTTTTTATTTTAAAATATTGATTTTTTCAATGGTTTAAAAATATCTGAGGACAAAAAGTAATAAAATTAAATTTAAAAAAAAATATAAAAAAAAAATATTTAAAAAAATAGAAAAATTGTATAGTTTTTGTATTAGAAATTTAGATTTTTTGTTTTTTTCATTATTATAATAATAATAATTTTCTTTTGGGTTATCCCAATATTACTTTTCTTAAAGGTTTTTAACGGTTTTGTGTAAAAAAAAAAATTCGTGCGGCTATTAATCTACATTGAAAATTTTTTTTTTGGGGGTGACCCTTTGGAAACCATAAAAAAAAAATTAAAAAAAATATCAAAAAAACATTATTATAATGAACCAAAAAAAATATCTAAAAGCCCACAATCCTTTTTTTTCTTTTACATTGATTTCATTATTATAATATATTTTATTATTTTTATTATTTATTATACCGAAAAAACATCAAATATAGTGATGGTTTTAAAAAAAAAAAAAAAAAATACAAACCTATATTTAATGAAAATAAAACAATAAATATAAAAATAAAATATAGATAAATGATAAATAAAAAAAAAATAAAAAAAATCTAAATAAAAATATTAAAAAAAACAATGAAAAAAAAAAAAAAGAATAGTTGGAAATAAATAATAAAAAAAAAAAAAAAAAAAAAAATTAAACGAGTTAACAATTAACCCTTTTAAACTTACTTGAAAATATGTAATTATAAAAAATTAAAAATAATGGGATATTTATTGTTGTATGAATATCTATATACAATTTTTAGATTAATTGTGAAAAAAAAACTTGGTAATTGAGGTAAAAATATATAAAAAAAAAAAAAGATTATTTATAAATAATATATATAAAAATTAAAATTATATATACAAATATATATATTATTATAGATAATTTACAAAAATATTTATTTAAAATAAGAAATAAAAAAAAAAAAGAATCTTTTAGTTTTTTTTTTTTTTTTTTTATATTTTTATTTAATTAAATTAAAATTAAATATATTTTTTTAATTATTTTATTTATTTTTTTAAAAAAGAATCCTAAATTTCAACCAGAGACAACTTTGAAAGACGTTAGAATATAATTTTCATATCATTGTCCATTGAAAAAAAAAAAAAAACTAAAAAATAAAATAAAAAATATAAAAAAAAATCAAAAAAATCAAAAAAAATATTCTTTTATTCAAACCGTTGGGTAAAGACAACCAAATTTCCCAACATTTGTTTTTTATTTTATTTTATAATTAATATTTTTATTTTTATTCACGAAAATAAATAAACCACATTATGCTTTCATTTCATTGCATGTGTGCGTCAACAAAATTTTTTTTTCTTTTAATGCCATGTATTTAATTTTAAACTACTCTCGCTATTTTTTTTTCATTGGCACTTTTTTACATTTTCTTTATTTGGATTTGAAATATAATAAAAAATCTATAAAATGAATACTATATATATTTTTTTTTAAAATAAAAAAAAGATATTTTTTTTTTCAAAAAAGTTAAAAAAGATATTTGTATTTATTTTTTTACTTTTTTTTTTTTTTTTTCTAATTTTTTAAAAAATAAGAGTTTTTCATTAATAACTATTTTTTAAAATAACATTTTCTGTATTTTTTATTTAAAAAAAATAATATTTAGTTTTTTTTTTTATTTGTGTTTATAAATATTTA